TGGCGAGAGCTTAGGGAGGGGACTGCGTGGCGTAGAAGAATCGGCTGAATCGACACCGGGAGCCTGCTAGAGCCGCAGTGGTCTCCGCAGTCGTCGTCTCGCCCCAGAGCCTCCCTATGCGCATGCGGTTGCGGGCGAAGGCGCGGTATAGAACGCTCGAAGAGCGGGCGCGGCGGCCACCAGCCCTCCAGGTGATCAGCCAGCCCAGTCGGCCACAGCGATATCCTTCCCGCAGCTGTCCATCCCACGGTGATGCTGCCGTCGGGCTGGACACCGTAGAGAGCGGCGTCGACCTGCTCAGCAGTGAGTCGTAGGACGCGCTTCGAGTCGGGCGAGGTGTCAATCGCGTCGATCGCGTCCGGCGCGGCGTCAGCCACAACACCTCGCGGCGGCATACGGGCAGGCCCGTCGTAGAGCAGTTTGTATCTGGCGCGTTCATCATTAGCGAGCGGGTACAATCTCGTCGCCGCGCTACGTCGGTAAATTGTGAACTAAATGTGTCTGAGCCTGGCTAGTATCCACGAAATTGCCACACGAGGTTCATACAGTCCATCCCTGTCGGGCATAGTCGTATATAATCGTAAGCACTAGGCAATCCGGGAGTTACACGCTATCCCGTGAAATCCTGACGTGAATTCTTGGCGCGCGCCCCTGACCGCGCCGTCGCTGCTAACCTTGGAGTGAAGCAGGACGGCGATTTTTTGCGCTACGGAGCCCACGCAACAGAATGCCTGCGGAGAGAAATGCGCTTTATAACTGCCACCGCCATACGTCGAAGGACGGTCACGCTACTGGCGGTAATTATCCTGTTGGCCGGTGGCGTATTTGCCTACAACTCGCTGCAGGTTGAGCTGTTTCCGGAAATCGAATTCCCCCTGGTGGTGGTCGCCACCTCGTATCCTTCGGCCGATCCGGAGGCGGTCGTCGGGGACGTGACCGTCCCGATCGAGCGGGTCATCGAGGGGACAGAGGGGCTCGAGGGAATCCAGTCCACCAGCATCGAAGGCAACTCCCTTGTCCTGGCGACGTTCAAGTATGGAACGGACATGGCAGAGGCGCAGACCGCCATCCAGAACCAGGTCAGCGTCCTGGCCCTTCCTGAGGGCGTGGACGTACCCGATGTAGGCCGCTTTGACCCGGACCAGTTTCCAGTCATGCAGTTCAGCGTCGTCTCCGAAAACGGCACCGACGAGGTGTCCGAATTCGTGCAGACCAGGGTCTTGCCGGAACTCAACGGAATCGACGGCATTCAGCAGATAACTGTGACCGGAGAGGTCCAACAGCAGGCGCAGGTATCTGCGACCGGCGACTGCTGGAGAATGGAATCTCGCTGCCACAGATCGCTGCCGCCCTCAGCGACAACAACATTACGCTTCCTGCCGGGCTGATATTCAGCGCGGCAGTTTCAATGCCCGTGAAGACGATCCACACCCTTGGTTCGGTGTGGAAAGAAATACGCGACCTCGTGGTGGGCTCACTCACCGTCGGGACGGTCGCCTGCGCGACGTGGCCGATGTGCGACTGACGCGGGATGCCAACCAGCATCTCACGCACCAACGCAAGCCAGCAATCAATGTCTCCGTCATCAAGGACGCCGAGGCCAACACTATCGAGTGACCGATGGAGTCCGTGCCGCGATTGAGGCCTTGAGAACATCCCGCCGGGCGTCGATATCGTCATAGTCACAGACCAGGCCCGGAGATACAGACCCCAGATCGATCACCCTGCTGCAGGAAGCGCGGTTCGGATTCCTTTTCGCTGTGGCGGTGGTGTTCATTTTCATGATCAGCATCAGGCCGACGGTACTTCGCGGGCTGCTGACCACGCTGCGCCCCACCCTGGTCATTGCGCTGTCCATACCTCTGAGCATTCTCACAGGAATCCTGCTGATGACATGGCAGGATATGACGCTCAACTTCATGACTCGGCGGTCTTGCCATTCGGTGGGCCGCGCTTGTTGACGACGCCATCGTGGTGCTGGAGAACGTATACCGCCACATACAGGCAGGCCGCGAGAGGTGGCGGGCGGCGCTGGATGCTACCACCGAGGTGGGCCCGGCGATTCTGGCCTCCACGCTGACCACCATTGTGGTGTTCATACCCCTGGGATTCATCTCAGGCCTGGTGGGTGCCTTCTTCCTGCCCTTTGCCCTTACCGTGGTGTTTGCGCTGGCCGCGTCGCTGGTGGTGGCGCTGACGGCGGTGCCCGTGCTGGGCGCCTACCTGCTCCGCCCGGGCGACCTGCGTGAGGGCGCGGGAGAGGACGAAATTGCCTTCGTCAACGAGACCTGGATGCAGCGTATCTACACGCCGATCTCTCCGCTGGGCGCTGGGACACAAGGCAATCTCCATCATCGCTGCCGTGGTCGTCACGGTGGCCAGCCTGGGGCTGCTGACACAGATACCGGTAACCCTGTTCCCCAGCGGCGGGCAGCGATACGTGGAAGTGAACCTCACTCTCCCTCCCGGACATCCCCGCTGATCGTACGCTTCGGGAGGTGATGCAGATCGAGGATGAGATCAGGGGCATCTCCGAAATCTACACCGCAACTGTGGGAGCCACCGATCTGGGCAGTGGTGGCATACCTGCCTCGTTCAACCAGGCCAGCTGTTTATCTTTCTGACCCCAGAAGCTCCTGAAGACGCAGCCGGCTACCTGAGAGAGCAGCTTCAGAGCCCCGGTAGGCAACTGCGGATTACCGAGCTGCAGGACGGCCCTCCTGCCGGCGGCGTGGAAATCAGCGTAGCGGGATCAGACTACGAGGACATAACCAGGGTTTCCCAGGAACTGGTGACGTCCCTGAGCACGACGGACGGCGTGGTCAACCTGTCCAGCGACATCGCCCAGGCCAGGGAGGAGGTCGCGGTCGAGGTTGACCCGGAAGCGGCAGCGGCCATCGGGTTGACATCCCGCCAAGTGGGATTCCAGCTCAGCCAGTTCCTCGTGGGACGATCCGTAACCACCATCAACATCGACGGAAAGGCGACCGAGGTCGTGTTGTCCGGCGGACGCGAATCGGTAAACAGCCTGGACGGGATAAGGGGCCTTATCATCTCCGGGCCGGGTGGAACTGCTCCCCTGGATGACCTGGCCCGGCTCACTACTCGAGAGGGCCCGGTGAGAATCAGCCGCACCGACCGGCAACGGTCCGCCAGCATTACCGGTGAAATCACGGCCGAGGACACCAAGGCTGTGGGGGTGGAGATTGACCAGAAGATTGCGGAACTCAATCTTCCGCCCGGAGTGACCGTGACCAGTGGCGGCATCTTCGCCGACATTGCCGAGGGGTTCCAGGCCATATTCCTGTCCATGGCCATCGGCATCGTCCTGATGTATCTGGTGATGGTCGGGAGCCTGGGGTCGTTGCGAAATCCATTCATCATCATCACCAGCCTGCCCCTGGCGCTCATCGGGGTGACAGTGGCATTGGCCATCACCGGGCGATCCCTGGGCCTGCCGGCAATGATGGGTCTCCTGCTGCTGATCGGAATCGTGGTAACCAACGCCATCGTGCTGATTGCCTTCGTCGAGCAACTGCGGGAGCGGGGAATGTCAGTGGCCGATGCGCTCGTGGCAGGGGGCCGCGTGCGGCTACGACCGATCCTGATGACGGCGCTTACCACCAGCTTCGCCCTGCTGCCGCTGGCAACTTTCTCCGGCGGCGAGGGCGGCATCATCAGCGCGGAGTTGGCGACAGTCGTAATCGGCGGTCTGATCAGTTCCACGGCGCTTACGCTTGTTGTGGTGCCGGTCGTCTACTACCTGTTCAACGTAAGTATCCCGTCATTTTTCTCAAGGCTGGCGCTCCGGTCGTCAGCCACATCCACGGGGTAGGGAGCGGCTTGTCACCCGCAAATTGAGGACGGATGAGCGAGAGCGCGCGGGCATTGCGGTTGCCTGAGTTCCCCATTGGCGATATAGTATTAGAGGCTTTTGAAATTGATCAGGTGGGTGTCCCGGCACCTGACCCGGTGGCATTTGAGCCTCCCCGGAGCGGTTTATGTTGACACAGCAGGAGTTGGTGGAGCGGATGCGGGAGTGGGCCGTCCGGGTTACTCCGCAGAGGCTGGCTATCGCTGAGGTAGTCCTGAATTCACAAGACCACCCCACGGTTCAGCAGATCTACGAACGGGTCCGAGACCACTTCCCGTCTATGACCCTGGCCACGATCTATTCCACGCTGGGCGTACTGCAGAAGAGCGGACTGATACAGGAATTGCCGTTCCAGCGGATGTCCCGGTACGAGCCGAATATGGAGCCCCACGTCAACCTCGTCTGCATCGAATGCGAGAACGTAATCGACGCCGACACATCCAGCGACGTTCACGACATGGTAGTGAGTCTGCGCAACAGCATCTCCCAGAACTCCGATTTTGAGGTGGGATGGCAGCGCGTGGACTTCTACGGCCATTGCCCCCGCTGCTCAGAGGCGAAGCGCCGGGGGAGAGCTGGCAGAGGTCTAGCCCGCCTTCGAGGCATCCCAGAAGGAAAACTTTGGAAACCGGCCGGTGATACACACTGGCCGGTTTTGCTTTTCGGAGGTTACGGCGATGATCACGGGAGTTGTGGGGGTAACATTCTGGACCGACGATCTGGACAGGATGTTCCATTTCTACAACGAAGTGCTGCAGCTTCCCCTGCATTCCCGCCACCCTGACTTCATCGCTTTCGAACTGGGTGAGGTGCGGTTCAACATCGGGCTGCACGACCGGGTGTCTGGGAAATCGAGGGACCCATATCGCTTTATGCCGCACCTGGGGGTGGCCGACATCCACGTCGTAGCAGCAAGGCTGGCCGATGCCGGCGTGGAGTTCATCCGGCAGCCGGAGCAGGAAAGCTGGGGCGGATGGGTAGCGACCTTCCGCGACCCAGACGGCAACACCCCTGCAACTGCTGCAGCTTGTATAATCATCGTGCTTGGCAAACGCGAGAATCATCCTGCGACAGGATCAACCTGTATTCGAGAGGCAGACCAGTAACTGCCGCGGAGGTTTCGGTAATGGCCCAAATCAGTAAGGCTGAGCGAGCGGCGCAACACCTGTTTGAGGCCCACCGCGAGCGCCGGAAATACGAGGCGCTGCCCGACGACATCTCGCCCGCCACGATCCATGAGGCCTATGACATGCAAGAGGCCTTCCAGGCGCTGCTCGCGCCCCAGCGCGGGGCTATCGTAGGCTACAAGATTGCACTCACCACTCCGGTGATGCAGCGGATGGTGGGGTTCGACGAACCCGCGGCCGGAGCAGTCTTCGAGAACGGCGTGCATTACTCCCCCGCGTCAGTGGGGGCCGCTGACTTCGTGCGCATTGGAGCGGAATGTGAGGTGGCGGTGCGGCTGTCTGCCGACCTGCCGGCCAGCGGCGCGCCTTACGGCCGCGAAGGCGTGGCGGGGGCGGTCGGTGCGCTGATGCCTGCCTTCGAGCTGGTGGACGACCGAGGCGCGGATTACAGCAATCTCTACTTCCTGGGGGTCGCCGCCGACAATGCCTGGAATGCGGGTGTGGTGCTGGGGCAGGAAAGGACCGACTGGCGGAGCGTTGATCTCGAGAATTCCCGTGGTGCCAATGACGATCAACGGCGAGCAGGCGGGCGAGGGCTATGGCCGTGACGGGCTGGGACACCCGCTGGACGCGCTGGCCTGGCTGGCCAACGCGCTGGCAGGACGAGGGAAGGAACTGAAGGCAGGGATGCTGGTGATGACCGGCAGCATCGTGAGCACCAAGTTCCTGAACCCCGGTGACGAGGCCGCCTTCACCTTCGAGGGGCTGGGCGACATCCGTCTGAGCGTCGGCTGAATCGACGGCGTCCGGTTGGTCCAATCGATGCCACGGCTTACAGGATCAACATGGCGTCGCCGAAGCTGTAGAAGCGGGTTACGGTGGCAGGTGCGTCTTCGCGAGTAGGCGGAAAGCAAACAATCATTTCCCGAGCCACCTGAATCTCACGATGACAGCGAACTTAGCTGCGTGAAGGCAGATACAAACGCGACACAAGCGTCGAACCGGAGGGCGAGGTGAAAGTAGTTGAGAAAGTGAATGAAAGTTGTGCTGATCATGGCGCGTCCACAGCTGTGAAGCGGAATGGCCGGGCAAGAACCTGCTGTGCGTTGTAGATGCTGGCATCGCCCTCGGAGCTGCGCGAATTGACGGAATGACTCCCGGTCCGACTAGCGGGACGATCTGCCGGCGGCTGCTCCACGGACCGGATCGCTGAGTGGTGCCGACAGCGATGACACAGGCAGTCCGGCAGGTCTTATACCCACCACGAGCGCGGTCCAGAGCGTCCCAGAACAAAACGAAGCATGGGAGCGTCTAGCGCAATAGAACGCTCGAATAGGTGTCGTGGATGTGAGCGGTAGGTGGACAGGTGGGCAAAGGTACTGTCACCACGAGACACACGGCACCGGAACGGAAGGGTCCGAAGCCGACGTGCAGGGTTACAAAAGCCGTCTCAACGCCTGATTCGCTGATGCGGGACAGCAGTTCCGGCGTGAAATGCAGCCCGGCCGTGGGGGCGGCGGCGCTGCCGGGTTCCTTGGCGTAGACCGTCTGATATCTCGCCGGGTCATCAAGCGCGCTTCGGATGTATGGCGGGAGCGGCGTGTGCCCCATGCGGTCGATGGCAGTTTCCGACGACAGCCGGACTGCTTTGAGTCCCTCTGCTCTTGACTCCAGGACCTCCACTGAGAGCCCTGAAGGCAGCTCCAGTCCATCGGGCGGGATGATGCTTACGGTAGCGCCAGGGCGGAGGCGCCGTCCGGGCCGGGCAAGGGCTTCCCATACGCCATCGGCCTCGCGGCGAAGCAGCAGGAACTCGACCCTACCGCCATTGTCATCGCGAACGCCAAACAGCCGCGCCGGGATCACGCGACTCTGGTTGAAAACCATGAGGTCACCGGGGCGGAGATAGTCAAGAACGTCAGCGAAACTGCGGTGCTCCGGTTCACCGGTGGCACGGTCCAATACCATCAGGCGGGAGGAGTCGCGGGGTTCGACGGGTGTCTGCGCGATGAGCTCGGGCGGCAGTTCGTAGTCAAAGTCGCTGGTACGCACGGGTTCAGGAACGGTTGCAGGTCTAGCCGGAGTGGTGGCGGCCATGGATTCTGATGCGGGCGGCGGTCAGCGTGTTCACCAAGAGCATGGCGATGGTCATGGGGCCGACACCGCCGGGAACGGGAGTGATGGCCAAGGCCTTTTGCGAAACGGCCTCATAGTCCACGTCGCCCTTGAGGCGGTATCCGCGTCTGGCGGAAGGATCATCCACCCGGTTGATGCCGACGTCGATCACCACCGCGGCGTCACGCACCATGTCGGCGGTGATGGCCTCAGGGCGGCCAATAGCAGCAACCAATATGTCGGCTTCGCGGGTCACGTCGGCCAAGTCGCGAGTGCGGGTGTGGCATACGGTGACCGTGGCGTTACCGCCACGGCCTCGTTGCATCAGCAGCGCCGCCAGGGGCTTGCCCACGATGTCGCTGCGCCCGCAGATGACCACGTTGGCGCCTTCCGGGTCGTGGCCGTTGCGCACCAAGAGCTCGACGATGCCGGCGGGGGTGCAGGGCGGGAAGTCTGGCCGGCCCTGCATGAGCTTGCCAAGGTTGTAGGGATGGATGCCGTCGACGTCCTTGTCCGGGTCGATGGACTCGATGATGCGGTGCTGTTCGATTCCGCCGGGCAGGGGCAGTTGCACGAGAATGCCATGAACCCTGGGGTCCTCGTTGAATGCGTGGACAGCGGCCAAGATTTCGTCCTCGGTTGCTGTATCGGGGAGTTGCGCTGAGTCGCTGAACAACCCGGCCTGCTCGCAGGCTCGCTGTTTGTTGTTCACGTAGACTGCCGACGCAGGGTCGCCACCGACCAGGATCACGGCCAAGCCAGGCGTTACGCCGTGCTTCTCCTGCATCTCGACAACGCCCGTCGCAACCTCGGAGCGTATCTCCGCCGACAGGTCGGTCCCAGATAGAATCTTGGCCGACATGGGCAAGTCTCCCCAAGCTGACAGTAGAGAAATTGTATCACGGCCCGGCCGGCAGATACCGGTGTTCGACTTTACTTGTACGCTTACGAAGGGCGGAATTATACTTGATGGACTCATCTCAATTGGAATAGCCAATGCGCATCTGTTCGCTTCTACCCAGCGCCACCGAGATGGTGTATGCCCTCGGACTTGGCGACGATCTCATCGGGGTCTCCTACGCCTGCGACTACCCGGAGGTGGCGGCTTCGCTTCCGGTAGTCAGCCACAGCCTGCGCAACGTCAAGCATCTGGACAGCGGGGAAATTGACGCGCTGGTACAGCAGGGCCCGCGCCAACAGCAATCCCATGTATTGGATCGACGAGGGACTGCTGGCCCGCTTGCGTCCCGACCTGATCGTCACCCAGGAGCTGTGCGAGGTGTGCGCAATTGCCAGTGGGTCGGTGTACGAGACCGCGGCCAAAGTGCTGGACTACCAGCCGGAGATCCTCACCATCAGGCCCAGCGGGGTGGGCGACATCCTGCAGAACATCACCAACCTTGCCAACGCCGCTGGAGTGCCGGAGCGAGGCCGAAAGCTGCGAGATTCGCTGGAGGCGCGGATTCAGCGAGTGACGGAGGGGGTTCCCTCGGGGGCCGAGCGTCCGCGCGTGGTGTGCCTGGACTGGCTGGACCCCCTGCGCAACACCGGGCAGTGGCTGCCGGAGATTTCCGAGATGGCCGGCGGCGAGGAAGGGCTTGCCATTCCGCGGGGGCAGTCCCGTGAACTTTCGTGGGAAGAGGTACGGGAATATGCGCCCGAGTACCTCATGATCATGCCCTGTGCTTTCGGGCCGGAACGGTCGTGGCAAGAGGCGCGAGACAAGCTGACCGTATTGCCCGGCTGGGATGATCTGCCCGCAGTTCAAAACGAGCAGGCGTTTTGTATTCGACGGCCGCGTCCCCAGCCGCCACGGTCCGAGGGTGGTAGACGTCCTTGAGGGGCTAGCAGAAGTACTGCACTCCGAGAAGTTCGGAGGCCTTGCGCCTGAAGGCATTTACGACCCTCAGCCCTTCCGGTGAGCCATCACCGTGTCGTCCTGGCGCCGGCCGCCGCGACTGCGGCAAATGAACCAAGGCTCTCAGGAGATTATCCCATCCGCTGAATTTTCGGGAATCCAACTGCTCCACACCGGCGTATAGATAACAATGATTGCAGCGATTTCATCCCTGAAAGAAGGACCGACCCGTACATGGCTGGTTACAGCCGCGGTGGCCGCAATTGCGCTTGCCATTGCCGTTGGCGGCGCCTTGGCCGTCGGCAGCGGCGGAGGGATTGACCCGATCAATCTCTTCGTAGAGGGCAAACTATCCGGGAACTCGCAGGAGTTCTTGGGCGGGCTCATAGGCGGCACCGCCCTGTTCGCGTTCGCCGCAGGAATGGCGTCAGCAGTAAACCCCTGCGGATTCGCCATGCTACCCGCATATTTGGGCCTGTACCTCGGCTCGAATTTGAGCGAGGACGAGCGCCCCGGTCTGGCCGCCTCGATACTGCGGGGACTGGTGATCGGCGGGTCCGTTTCAGCTGGCTTCATCCTGCTGTTCGGCGTCGTGGGCGGCGCGGTGGGACTGTCGGCGTCATTCATCAGCGACCTGCTGCCCTGGCTGGGACTGATCATCGGCGCGGCGCTGGTGGGCACGGGGGCGTGGATGGTGGCCGGTGGCAAGCTGTACACGGGCATCGCCGCCCGGGCGGCAGACCGGCTGGGCAACCCCAACACCGTCAGCGTAAAAAGCTTCTTCACCTTCGGCCTCTCATACGGCACCGCGTCCCTGAGCTGCACCCTGCCTATCTTCATTGCCGTGGTGGGCATCGGCAGCGCATCGAGTTCGCTGTTGCAGGTGGTGGGGAACTTCTTCCTGTATGCCATCGGAATGGGCTTGGTGATAATGGTGATGACGCTGGGGATGGCAATTTTCAAGGGCGCCATGGTGCGCATGATGCGCCGTGCCCTGCCATACATTCAGCCCATCGCATCGGCGTTTATGGTTATCGCGGGCGCATACATCGTCTTCTACTGGCTGACCGTTGGCCGCGGCAACCTTCTTTAGCTGGGTCGGCCGGTCTTTCTTCCTGCCCGCCCTGAGCCTGGCCGTCGTTAGTCTGCTGCTGGCGGCCTGCGGAGCGGAGGATGCAACTCCCGCAGAGACCGCTCCCGCCACCCGTGCGGAACAGACAGCGGGGTCCGAGCCCACGGCCACCGTGCGGTCCGCAGCAGCATCTCCCACTGCAGGCAACGAAGAAGCGCCAACGTCAACGCCGGAGGAGCCGACGGCGGCCGCCCCTGGTGCCGACGGTCCTGTCCCGATGGTCGAGCCTGACCCCGACTATCAGAACGCCCTCGACGCGACCCGTTTCGGCACCGGAAACTGGCTGACCGACTTCAGCCTGCACACCGTCTCTTACGAAGAGTTCCTCTCCGGTGGCGTGGGCCGCGACGGCATCCCACCGCTGGACGACCCACAGTTCGAGAGCATCGCCGACGCCGCCACCTGGCTGGAGGATGTTGAGCCTGTGGTGTCCCTGGAAATCAATAATGTGGCGCGGGCCTATCCGCTGGCGATACTGACCTGGCACGAGATTGTCAACGACACGCTGGGCGGCGTCCCGGTGTCCGTAACCTTCTGCCCGCTGTGCAACTCCGCGGTTGCCTTCGACCGACGAATTGAGGACACCACCCTGACATTCGGCGTCTCCGGAAACCTGCGCAACAGCGACCTGGTGATGTGGGACCGACAGTCAGAGAGTTGGTGGCAGCAGCTCACCGGCGAGGGTATCGTCGGGGCGTACGCGGGTTACCAGCTCGTCTTTGTACCGGCACAAATCGTTTCCTGGGGCGACTTCAAGACGGCCTTCCCCGGAGCCGACGTGCTGTCCCGCGACACCGGGTACCGCCGCGATTACGGACGAAACCCCTACGCTGGCTATGATCGAGCAGACCAGTCGCCATTCCTGTTCCGGGGCGAACTGGACGACCGTCTGCTGCCCATGGAGCGGGTGGCCGCGCTGGAACTCGACGGGCAGCACCTGGCTTTCCCGTTCAGGGAACTGGAGCAGGAGCCCGTTGTCAACTACTCAGTGAACGGGCGCGACATCGTGGTGCTGTTCCAGGCGGGAACTGCCTCGGCGCTGGACCAGTCGCGTATCGCCGACTCGAGGGATGTTGGCTCCACCGGAATATTCGATGCCGTGCTGGATGGGGAGAAGCTGAACTTCCGCCTGGGACTCGACGGATTCACCGACAACGAGACCGAATCGCTCTGGAACCTGCTGGGTCAGGCCATCTCCGGGCCGCTGGCTGGGCAATCTCTCACCCCCATCGCACACGGCAATCACTTCTGGTTCGCCTGGGCTGCATTCGCTCCCGAAGTGGAGATCTACAGGGGCGAGTAGCGCCCTCATTCGCTGCTGGACACTGCCAGATGGGCCTAGTAGAATCGCCCTCTACCCTGTTTTCCTTTCCTTGGCGTTCCCCGTGTGATTGCCCGTATTTTCCACACTTTGGGCGATGCGTTGTGCTCCACGCCGAAACTTTAGTTGCCCAAGAACCGGCAAAAGGGAGCCTGAATTCTGGTTGACCAGATAGTCAGATGGTCGGATGATCCGGGCGGGCTTTCCGTGGAGGAATGCGCGCGGAAGGGGATCGAGGCCGTCGCGGGCCTGGTAGTCTCCGGAGACATATTCCAGACCAACTACTACCCGGACGCACACTTTTGCACCTGTGCGGAGATTTACCACGCCGTCTCAGGCACAAGCGTCAATTTTGACGACTACATCGGCGTGAACTTCCGTGTAGTGGAGATCAGAGGCGGCACCTACCCACTGGTGGGACAGGAGTCCGTACGAATGGTCATGCAGCCACTGGACGACGGAAACGTGAGCGCCCATTGGAGTGCGATTGACGCCGGCACACCAGACCGACCCCTGCGCGGCGGGGAAATGCTACCAAGGGACCTTGACGCCCGCTCCAGTGTTTGCAGCCCGCTGGAGCTGGGGCCGATCGCGGAACAGGAAGAGGGAAACCAGGATCAGCCTTCGTTTCTGCTCTTGAAGGACCCGGGAGCCGGTTGGCAGATATGGCGGCGATTTTTACATGCGCAAAGTGATGCCAATCCCGCCGACAAGAATTATTATCGCGAAGAGTCCTACACCATGGTGTATCCCCTGTTCAGCCCAGACATGAACTGGCGATTTCGCGTCCACGATGTCCCCGGCGGTGGGGTACGCTGGGAAGTCTATTCAGGCAATCGACGATAATCGAGGGCAATTTACGTTTCAGTCCAGCCGCAGGAGGCAGTCATGGCCAATCCCCGCGCCGAATTCTCGCCGATCTTCAACCGTCCGCCCCTCAAGCTGCCCAACAACGCCCGCGTCGCAGTCTGGCCGGTAATCAACGTGGAGGAGTGGGACATCAACGAGCCCATGGCCCGCACAGTGCTGCCCACGCCACAGGGCGTCTCGACCATCCCCGACATCCCCAACTTCGGCTGGTTCGACTACGGCCTGCGGGTGGGAATCTGGAGGTTCAAACAGGTGCTGGACAAGTACGGCATCCGGGCCACGGTCAGCCTCAACGCCTCGGTATGCCTCAGCTATCCGACGCTGGTGGAAGAGTGTCTCAAGTCAGACTGGGAGATGCTGGCCCACGGATTCATCCAGAGGGTCATCAACCGCGAGCCGGACGAGAGGGCCGTGATACGCCGCACCATAGACACCATCGCTGAAGCCACCGGCACGGCTCCGCGCGGCTGGATGGGCCCGGGACTGGCCGAGACCTTCGACACCCCGGATGTTCTGGCCGAGGAGGGCATCGAGTACATCGCCGACTGGTGCAACGACGACCAGCCCTACGAGATGATCGTCAAGTCGGGGCGGATGGTGGCCCTCCCCTATACGGTGGAGCTTAACGACATTCCCATCTACCTGATCCAGAACCACCGCTCCCCGGAACTGTTCGAGCGGGCCAAGGACCAGTTCGACACACTTTACCGCGAGGGTGCGGATAGCGCCCGCGTGATGTGCATCTCGACGCACCCGTACATCACCGGCGCGGCGCACCGCATCAAGTACTACGATGCGATTTTCGAGTACATCAGCCGCTTCGAGGGCGTGGTGTTCATGACCGGCAGCGAGATCCTCGACTGGTACAATGGAGAAGTGGGGAACAGCGGGTAGCTGGCGCTAACCTTGGCCAGGCAATCGAAAGAATGGAATCTGACGTCCAAGAATCCAACAAGTACGTGGAGCTGAGCCGCTGGTGCATCAGCGAGGCCGACAACTATCTGCGCGTTCGAAACAACATCCAGGCCTCGGAAAAGGGATGGGGCGCGGCTGCCCAGGCGCTCAAGGCCATCGCCGAAGAACGTGGCTGGAACCACGGCGGCCACGGACTGATAGTTGACATCGCCAAGCAAGTAGCGGATGAGCAGAACCAGCCCAACCTCGTAAGTCTGTTCGGAACAGCTCAGGCCCTTCATGTAAATTTTTATGAAGACTGGCTGGGAACCGACGTCATAGAGATTTACCTTGACGACGTAAAGAAGCTGCTCCCCGAACTGGAGCGAATCCGCGAAGAGACCCCACCGGCCTTTCACCCCGGAGACCCGCGACCAGCGGAACCGTTTGCAACGGCTGACTCGGGGGTAGTCCCCATATCGGGATTTGACCCCGTTCCTGCTGTCCGAACTGCCATTACAGAAATACAAACGAGAGAGTCCAGTCCATGACTTACCAACCGGGCATCATCAGCACCGCTGTCGGCACTGGCGAGCGGGGGTATTCGGGGGATGGCGGGCCAGCGGCATCGGCGCTGCTGAGCGAGCCGTTCATGTGCGCCTTCGATGCGGGCGGGAACCTGTACGCGGCCGAGGCGATGAACCACTGCATCCGCCGGGTGGACCGGGAGACGGGCGTCATTGTCACTATCGCCGGGACAGGCGCGTTGGGATATTCCGGGGACGGCGGGCCAGCGACCACAGCCACATTCAACCAGCCATATTCGCTGCAGGTGGACGCCAACGGGGACGTGTACGTTGTAGATCGATTGAACTATGTCATCAGGAAGATTGACGCCTCCTCCGGGATCATCAGCACCGTCGCCGGCACAGGCGAATCTGGCTATGGCGGAGACGGAGGGCCGGCAACAGCGGCGCAATTCCGGGAGCCCAACGACTGCTTCCTCGATGGCAAGGGCGGTCTGCTGATCGCCGACGTACAGGACCAGCGCATACGACGGCTGGACCTGGCCTCAGGCATCATCACCACCTTTGCGGGCAACGGCGCCAAGGAACGCAGCGGCGACGGACTGTCCGCAACGGAGGCCAGCATCCTAGGCGCACGGGCGGTGTGCATGGACGGGTCGGGCAACACTTTCATTGCCGAGCGCGAGGGCAATGGCATCCGCAGGGTGGACGTCAACGGCGTCATGTCTACGCTGGCGGGAACGGCGAGTTTGGCTACACCGGCGACGGGGGCCCTGCCCTCGCAGCCACATGGGGCGGCCCCAAAGCCATCCGCTGCGACCACGCCGGCAACCTGCTGGTGGTCGACACTGAGAACCACGCCATCCGTAGCATCGACCCCGCCACCGGCATCGTCACCACCATCGCAGGCGGCCGGCTGGGCTGGGAAGGCGACGGGGGCCCGGCAGTCCAAGCAGGCATGGACCGTCCTCACGGAGCGGATGTGGACGCTGTCGGCAACATCTATATTGCCGACAGTAACAACCATCGCGTGCGAGTGGTTGGGGCCTGACTTCGATAGATCGTCCTGACTATCAAGCGTTGGGTTGGTGTGAAACGGAGCCCCCGCAGCCTGCGTGTTGCCCCGCTACAAACTCTCGGTGCTCGCGCGCCTGCGAGGGCGCGAAAGAAGTTCGCCCCCGCAATTCGGGCAGACATGGCCCATTGTGCCAGCGCACGTGGGGCAGAAAGTACACTCGTACGAGCAGATGAAAGCCGCACACTCGTAGGTCAGTACGGCTTTGCAGCGCTCACATTGCCCGCGCATCTCAAGTGCCATCAGGCCTCCACTTTGTAACCAGGCTAGTCGTCGGCCAGCACGGCTTCCAGCGGATCGGGCTGGACATCACGGACGAAGACCGGTTCGCCGTTGCGGATTTCGATTGACCGCTCGAACCTCTCTTGGAAAGTGACGTCGTCCAGGGTGCCAACGTCGCGGGTCAGGCAGCAGTACTCCAGCGAGATGCCGTTGGGGTCAGTGAAGTAGATGGACATGGCCCACTCGTGGTCCACGATGTCGGTGACCTTCACGCCCTTGCCGGTCAGTTCCTCGCGTTTGGCGTTCAGCTCGTGAAGGTTACCTGCCTCGAAGGCAAAGTGGTAGAAAACGCCGGGGATACCCAGCCCCTTGTTGATGCCGGTGTCGAAGTCGTCGGGCAGGCCGGGGATGTTGTTGGGCTCCATGAACGCAACCAACTGATCGCGGCCAACGTCAACGAACATGTGCCGGATGTTGCCGCCCTGCCGGATCTTGATGGTGTCGCACCGAACCACCTCGAAGCCGAGAATGTTTTCGTAGAAGTCGCGGGTTGCATCCAGGTCATGGGTGGAGAGGCCGATGTGGGAGAATCCCTTATTGGACATCCAGTCACCTCCTTGCGTGCCGCTGATGGCCAAGTTTAACACTTCGCGGGCATGTGCTGCCGGTACCAGTCCATGGTGTGCGTCATCACCTGGGAGAAGGCGGGCTCCTCGTAAACCTCGTAGTGGCCGACTCCCTTGAGCATTACCAGTTTTTTGGGCTCGCCGGCCTTGGCGTAGAGTTGCTCCGATTCCTCGGGCGGGACCAGCCTGTCCTGGTCGCTGGTGATGAACAGCACTGGCCGGGGAGCGATCTTGTCCACCACCCACTCTGGGTTGAAGCCCAGGGTGTCGTCGATGTACTCGACGGGGATAGTCATCACAGCATTGGGGTTGTTGGCTCGCTGCGCGGCGGCCAGCGCGGCCGATTGCCGGTCGGGCAGCAGGATCTCGCCGCGTTCCACCATATCGGACTTTCCGGTCATCACGCGCTGGATGCGGTCTGCCTTGGAACGATCGAGGAGGTCGAACCACTCGTCCATGCGGCGGACGCGGCTCATCCAGCGCTCGCCGTGGCCGATACCAACAACGCTGACGACGCACTTGGCGCGCTGGTCGATGGCCGCAGTCCAGGTAACCGTTGCTCCGCCGTAGCTAGTGCCGTAGATGCCAATGTGATCCTCGTCCACCTCGGGCTGCTCGCCCAGAAAGGTCATTGCCGCCTGCACGTCGGTGACACGGCTGTGGGGCACCAGCCTCAGCGGAGAGACGCCCTCACTCTGACCCCAGCCCTTGTAGTCGAAAGCCATGGCCACGTACCCGGCCTCGTTGAGGACCCGGGCGTTGTCGGGCAGGTACAGGTCTTTTACGCCGGTGTAGCCGTGGCACAGTAGGACCGCCGCCCTCTGTTCGCCGTGCGCCATATCATCGGGAGTGTAGACGTCTCCCTGCAACTTGAACCCTTCACTGTAGAACTCAACCGCTCGCTTCATCAGCATTACTCCTACATTCCGAACGTTACCTCTCCATGCGGGAGAGTTAGGGATACGCCGCTCCTCCTACTCTTGTACCTTCTTCGACGTCGTCAGCCGCTGGCTCAAGTCCCACAGGCCGGCGGAGAGCCCGATGTCGTAACTCAACGCGGAAGACGGCACTTCTCCGGTCCACGTAGTACTTGCCAGTCACGCCCTCTACTTCCTGGGACGAGGCGAGGTATACCAACGTATCGGCACCTTTGTCGGCACCAATGCCGCGAGCGCCGATGAAGAAGTTGACCACACGGCCCACCATCCCATTGTTCCGGGCGATGTTGGTGCGCACCAGGCCGGGGTGCAGGGCGTTGACGGTGACGCCGGTGCCTTCGAGCCGCCTCGCCAACTCGTAGGTGAACAATATGTTGCACAGCTTGGAGCGGCCGTAGGCACGGTAGCCGCGATTGATTCCCGGCCTGGGCAGATCCTCCAGCTGGAATTTCCCCGGCGAACCGTGGGAACTGGACGACACATTGATAATCCGAGCCGGGACGGAATCCCGGACGAGGTCCAGGAGCAGGCTGGTCAAGAGAAAATAGCCCATGTGGTTCAAGGCAAAGGTCATCTCCAGACCATCAACGCTGCTGGGGCCTGACAGGAAAATGGCCCCGGCGTTGTTCAGCAGCACGTCCAGACGTGGCAACTGTTCATTGACCTGGGCAGCCAGGCGCCTCACCTCCCGCTGGGAGGACAAGTCCGCTAGCAGGTAGTTGACATCATTGTTCTTCGTTTCGTCGGTGATCCGCACCACGGCGGCGTGGGTCTTGGCGGCGTTACGCCCACCAAGATGACGCGGGCCCCCATACGAGCCAGCTCGCGGGCGGCGACGTAGCCGATACCATCGCTGGCACCAGTGACCAGACACGTCTTTCCTTGCATAGCGGTGACGTAGGGAACGTTCATAATGGCAGATTTTATCGCAGGGAGCATGAGGGTGGTAGAATTGGGGCGTCATTCGCCCTATCAATTCTAACGATTCCAAAGGATGGGATGGCAGAGGAGTAGCGGCATGAGCGGCGGCAGGATCACTTTCGGTTGCAGCCTGAGCGTGGAGGACTACTGGGACGTTCCGGCCTTCGCGCGCCGCGCCGAGGAGCGGGGCTTTCAGCGAGTGACCATGGGCGAGCACATTATGGATGGCAACCCGCCGCGCCCAACGGTATTGAACCTGCCCGCTATGGCCGCCGCCGCCGGAGCCACACGGAGCATCCGCATCATGACCGGCATCGTGATTGTGCCGCTGTACCACCCGGTGATGCTTGCCAAGCTTGTGGCCAGTGTGGACCAGGTCTCCGGCGGGCGGCTGGATTTCGGCATCGGGATCAGCGGCCAGCGAGGGACGCACGTCGAGTTCGACGCCCTTGGCATCTCCACCCGCACCCGCGGGAGGCGCACCGACGAGATGTTGGACGTAATGAAAAGACTGTGGACCGAGGAACACGTCTCGCACAACGGCCAGTTCTTCGACTTCAGCGACGTGACACTGTTGCCCCAGCCCTACCAGAAGCCCCATCCGCCCATCTGGGTGTCGGGACGCAGCGATGCGGCGATGCGACGGGCCGCCCTGAAGGGCGAGGGCTGGTATCCCTACCTGTTCACAAACCGACGAATCAAGTGGAGCAACGACATGGTGCGCCAGTTCGCCGCAGAGGGGAACCGCAGCCTTGAAGGGTTCCACTGGGGACTGAACCAGCCCACTGCCATCTCGGTCAACGGAGACGAGGCGATGGAACTTGCAGTCCGCAACGTGGGCGAGCGCTATGTAACTCCGGAGCGCAGCGCTGAGGACATCGCCAGGGCCCTGTGCGTCGCGGGCACGCCTGACGACTGCGCCAGGGAGATAGAGGCGAAGATCGAGGCGGGGGTGGAGCACGTAAACCTAGGCTTCTTGTCGCCGGACTCCGATGGCCTGTATCGCCAGATGGACCTCTTCGCCGAGAGGGTGATGCCACAATTCAGTTGATAACATACGGCACTATCATCGAGGTGGTGCCTGTTCAGGAAAGTAAAGCAAGTAAAACGACAAAGGGAGGAGGAGCCATGCCAGACTCGGTTTCGCTGAAGGTGGAAACCAATGTACCCGCCGCGATGCGCGACGGCACGACGCTCTATGCCGACGTATACCGGCCCGACGGCCCCGGCCCGTACCCTACAATCCTGCAGCGCACGCCCTACGACAAGTCGGCGGCGCTGGCATCGCAGATGCTGGACCCCATGAAGGCAGCCAAGGCCGGGTTTGCCCTCGTCATCCAGGACACCCGCGGGCGCTTCACCTCCGGTGGGGAGTTTTACTGCTTCGCTGATGACATAGAGGACGGCTACGACACCGTAGAGTGGGTCGCGTCGCTGCCGTGGTCCAGCGGCAAGGTCGGCATGATCGGTGCCTCCTACGTTGGGGCGACCCAGTGGCTGTGCGCCACCACTCGCCCACCCCACCTGACGGCCATCGCGCCGAACGTCACCGCCTCCAACTACCACGACGGCTGGACCTACCAAGGCGGCGCCTTCGAACTGGGATTCAATGCTTCGTGGACGCTCCTGCAGCTCACCCTGGCCAACTTCAAGACCCAGTCTGGCGTGAAGAGCATCCCGCAGGCGCGGCAGGCGGAGCTGGTCAAGTCCATCGACGGCATGACGGACGCCTTCCGTCACCTGCCACTGAAGGACCTCCCGCAACTCAACGGCGGGCTGGCCGACTACTACTTCGACTGGCTGGAACATCCCTCCTACGATGACTATTGGAAGAGGCTGTGCATCGAGGACCAGCACTCCAACATCTCCACACCCGCGCTGAACATCGGCGGCTGGTACGACATCTTCCTCCGCGGCACCATCCGCAACTATCTCGGTATGAAAAAGAACGCAGCCACCGAAGAAGCCCGGCGGGGCCAGAAACTGATCATCGGTCCCTGGCAGCACAGTTCCCGGGGCACCAGCCTGGTGGGCAGCCACTACTTCGGCGTGGCTGCGGACGCCATGGCCCTGGGGCTCGACGAGATGCACCTGCGCTGGTTCAACCACTGGCTGAAGGGCGAAGACACCGGGATACTGGACGAGCCGCCGGTCAAGATATTCGTAATGGGCAACGACGTGTGGCGCGACGAGCAGGAATGGCCGCTGGCCCGCGCTCAGGCCACCAACTACTACCTGCACAGCGGCGGGAACGCCAACAGCCTGCACGGCGACGGGAACCTCAGCCCCGACGCGCCATCGGACGAGGCTCCCGACGTGTTCCTGTACAACCCGGCCAACCCGGTCCCGACGCGGGGCGGCCAGCTTTGCTGCAACCCGTATTTCGCCGCCAACGGTGCCTTCGACCAGAACGAGATCGAGGCGCGCCCGGATGTGCTGGTCTATTCCACGCCAGTGCTGGCGCGGGACGTTGAGGTCACCGGGCCGATCACGGTAACGCTGTGGGCTGCCTCGTCGGGCACCGACACCGACTTCACCGCCAAGCTGGTGGACGTTTGCGAGGACGGCTGCGCCCGCAACCTGACCGACGGTATCATCCGCGCCCGGTACCGGGAGTCGATGTCCAGGTCCGTCACTGATCGAGCCGGGGCGGGCCTACTGCTACACCATCGACCTACTGGCGACCAGCAACGTGTTCAAGGCGGGGCACCAGATCAGGCTGGAGGTGTCCAGCAGCAACTTCCCCCGCTTCGACCGCAATACCAACACAGGTGGAGTCATCGCCGCCGACACCGAGCTGAAGCCCGCCATGCAGACCATCCTGCACGACTCGGCTCACCCGTCTCACGTGACCCTGCCCATCGTTCCTCGGTAGGCGATTTTATCGTCAACCCCCTTCAGCCATAACCAAGCCTCACCCTGCCCCTCCCTGCGGGAGAGGGTATGGTGAGGCCGTCTCCCTGGAGGCCCCGATGCCCCACGAGTCCATCCCCGACCCCGACGCCCCACCGGACCCGCTTCGGGACTGGTATGTAAACGAGATCTGGGGCCACCGTTCCCCGACGATGACGCGCTGTTCGAGGTGATGAGCCTGCAGGTATTCCAGGCCGGATTGACCTGGAAGATGATCCTGGACAAGCGCGACGCCTTCCGCAATGCCTTTGCGGGCTGGAAGATCGATGCCGTGGCCGCGTTGGGGCCCGACGACGTGGAACGCCTGCGGCAGGACGGCGGGATCGTCCGCAACCGCCTGAAGATCGAGGGTGTGATCGAGAACGCCCGTCGGGTGCAGGCCATCCGGGACGAGCATGGCGGCTTCTGCGACTGGTTCTACGACGGGCTGGAAGGGTACGAGTACCCTTCGCTGGCCCGTGAACTGCGCCGCACCTTCAAGTTCATGGGGCCGGAGATCGCCCGGATGTGGCTGATGGCGTCGGGACGGATCACTCGCGAAGAGGGCGACAAGTACCGCCCCGGTGCCGCCAACTGACATTTCGAGAGGCCGTTCATGTGCCGCAGCATCAAGGTACTTCGCAGTGCTGAATCCCCTGCGACGGACGCAGATATTGAGGCCGCGGCGCTGCAGTTCGTGCGGAAGATCAGCGGCTATCGCCAGCCGTCGCGGGCCAACGCAGAGGCCTTCGACCAAGCGGTCACAGAGGTTGCGGAGTCGTCTCGAAGACTGTTGTCGCAGTTGGCGGTGCGCACCTCTGGGTGAATGCCCCCATCTTCAATGCTCCCACACTGAGGGACCGTCCTAGTCTCGCGCATCGGGCTAGCGCACTCTGACGTACTTGGTTCCCAAGCCCTTGGCAGCGTCGGTAGCGCCGCCGCTGACCAGATAGATGTTGCCGTGGGCGTCGGGCCAGATCTGGTGGCTGCGTGGTGTCGTCCATCTGGCCAGCACGGTGCCAGAGCCGTCGCGAACGGTCAGCAGGTTCTCCACAGCCTCACCGCTCTCGCGCTCGGCCAGGTAAAACAACCCGTCCCGGCCAATGTGCAGGTCTGTGGGGAGCTGCACGTTGGTCCACTGGGTTACGAACTCTCCCTCGGGATCGAAGATCTGAATGCGGTTGTTCTTGCGGTCGCAAACGTATACCAGCCCCTCGCCGTCCACCCAGAGGCAATGGGGGGAGAAGAACGCGCCGGGACCGTCGCCGCCGGGCCGTCCCCAAGATGCTTTGAACTGTCCGTCGGCAGCGAAGCGGTGCACCCGGCAGTTGCGGTAGCCGTCGGACGCATACAGGTCGCCTGATGGCGATGGCGAGAGCCGGGTGGGGCGGTTGAACGGGCCTCCTGCCCTCGGCACAACCCCCTCGTCCTCGAAGCATCCGGGTGTCCGAGGGCTGGCCCCGGTTGCCGACTTCCAGCAGGACCTCTCCACTCACCGACAGCTTCATTGCCACGTGAGCGCCCCGGTCGGCGAGGTAGATCACGTCGTCCGGCCCGATGTACATGGTGTGGGGCTCCACGACGATGCCTGTCCCCCAAGAGTCCAGGAAGTTGCCGTCGCGGTCGAACACCAGCACCGGCGGGTCCTGTTGCTGCTGGCAGAGATAGACCCGGTCCTGGGAGTCGACCACAACGCCGGTCACGACGCCGGCGCGCATCCCCTGGGGCAAGCGGCCCCAGCCACTGTCAACTTCAAACAGGAAATCGCCCATTCCGATCTGAGCCATGCTGGATCACCCCCTGCCGATGAACGGCATTTTGGTCGCCATGATGGTCATGAACTGCACGTTGGTGTCGAGGGGCAGATTGGCAATGTAGACCACCTGCTCAGCGACATGGGCGACATCGAAGCGGGCCTCGGGAATGACATCGCCGTTGGGCTGGATTATCCCTCGCTCCATGGGAGCGGTCATATCGGTTGCGGCGTTGCCGATGTCGATCTGGCTGCAGGCGATGTTGTACTTGCGCCCGTCCAGCGAGGTGGCCTTGGTAAGGCCCATGACGCCGTGCTTGGTGGCGGTGTAGGGAGCGCTGTTGGGGGCGGGGCACGTAGGCGGAGATGGAGCCGTTGTTGATGATGCGCCCGCCCATTGGATCCTGGTCTTTCATTATCCTGATGGCTTCCTGGGTGCAGAGGAAGGTGCCGGTCAGGTTGGCGTTGACGACGGTCATCCACTGATCGAAGGTCAGGTCCTCCATGTTGACTGGCGGGGAGGAGCTGCCAGCGTTGTTGAACAGCACGTCGAGGCGTCCGCCGAAGGACTCGCGGGTGCGGGCGAAAAGCCCAGCCACGGACTCGGGGCTGCCGACGTCGGTGGTGACGGCGATAGCGCGCTCGCGGTGCTCTTCGGCCTCAGCCAAGGAGGCCTCCAGGGTTTCGATACGGCGACCGGCCAGCGCGACCGAGTAGCCGTCGCGCAGGAGTGCCAATGCTGACGCCCGGCCCACGCCTGAGCCTGCACCGGTGACGATGGCGACGCGCCCCAGTGAATTCATCGGGTGTCCTCCTTCGTGAGTCCCATTGGCTTTGGGTGCCAGTTTAAACCTGCCGGGGGTGAATGGGGAATCGGGAATTGCCGGACAATGCCAGAGCTTGCCCATGAGCGGGTTAGACTGCCAGGCTACGTTATGTGGCTAGCAGGTCTATCCTGATGGAAAAGCGGGACTGATTCCTCCTCTGGATCCCTGATTATCTCCCATTTCACCACTGTAACCTGGCTCGGACAAAAGGCTATCGCATTTGGCCGCATAAATTCCGGGATGGGTGGGTAATTCGGCACGGCTGTCGCCCAAAAGCGGGCCTGCAGTATCCCTGCTGGAAAATTGGGACAGAACTTTCCCACTTTTGTCCCAATTTGTCCCATCATGTCCCAAATTTACGGTCCGCCCTATCTGGGATTTCCCAAATTTGGCGAAAAATTGCGATTCCCGCCCCATTCTTTCCCATTTTGTCCCACCCTCGGTTTTCGTCCTATTGCGGACAACCTGAGGGCCATACCGTCAGCGGCCAATTGACTTGCGCGCAGCTGGGATCAATAAGCATACGAGGATATGGTACGGAGGTGTCATGAGGCTTGGCAAGGGCGGAATGTCAGTAAAAAGCTGCGAAACGGCAACCCGGGAAAGATGAGGGGCTATACTGGTGGAAACAAACCTGACGAGGTGACTGGGATGAAAGCGGCTGTTTACAAGGGAGAGCAGGTCCTCCAGGTCGAGGACGTTCCCGACCCGGTGCCAGGACCCGGCCAGGCGGTCATGAAAGTCAAATACGCCGCCATCTGCGGGACGGATGTTCATGCCTTCTTGTACGACATCGCCAAGCCGGGGACGGTCCTAGGTCACGAGTTTGCCGGCAGCATCGTTGACGTTGGCGAGGGGGTCACGCGTGTGCGAAACGGCGACCGGGTTGTTGGTGGCGGCGGGCACCGTCCGGCAGGTGTAGACCCGGGACCCCGGGCCAATCCGAGGTTCAACTACCGGACGATGGGGTCCAGCACAACGCCAGGCAGCTTGGATACGCCGAATACGTACTGATGGATGAGTGGGAATTCACGCCGGTGCCCGACGATGTGACGGACGAGCAGGCGGCTCTGACGGAACCGTGCGCCGTGACCGTACATGCGGTGCGGCTGTCGGACGTCAAACTGGGCGACGCCGTGGTAGTGCTGGGCGCGGGGCCCATCGGCCTGCTGTGCATGCAGACAGCACGGGCGGCCGGGGCCACGACCGTGATCGTGTCGGAACCGGCGCCGGGCAGGGCAGAGGCGGCCCGCCGACTGGGAGCCGACGCCGTGATAAACCCACTGGACGGCAATCTTGAGGCGCAGGTAATGGAACTCACCGGCGGGGCCGGGCCGCAGGTGGTGTTCGAATGCGCCGCCGCACCTTCGACCATGGAGCAGGCGCTGGACCTCTGCGCGAAAGGCGGACAGGTGGTGATGCTGGCAATCGCGTGGGAGCCGACGGCCGTTCTTCCGCCGAACTGGATGGCGAGAGAGGTGCGGATGCAGTCCTCGTTCGGGACGCAGCCGCAGGACTGGCGGATCGCGCTGGACCTGATGCGGCAGGGCCTGGTCTCGGTCGACCACATGCTGACCGGAACCAACTTCGTCCCGCTGGAGGGCATCCAGGGTGCTTTCGAGGCGCTGTGCCGCCCGACCAACCAGCTGCAGATGGTGGTGGCGCTGTAGGGCCCAAGTCCCGGCCTTTGCTGGCGGGCTCTGAAGGCGTGAATCAATCAAGGCGCCCATGATGCAGCGTTCCATAAGCAACTGCCCGAACTGTGGAACGGCCGCCGAAGGCGCGGCAAATTTTGCGTAAGGTGTGGCGGCCGGCTGCCTACCGGCTGTCCCAGCTGTGGCGCGTCCAACCAGCATGACAGCCTGTTTTGTCACTCCTGCGGCTCTGCGCTCGCAGTGTCGGCACCACCGCGCCCGCGTCCGGCAGCCGTTTCCTGCCCGCGGTGCAATTCGGTAAACGAGGCGGGTACAACGTTCTGCTATTCCTGCGGACTTCCGCTAGAGGAATTCGGCGGGGTTTCGAGCCGAGGCATCGTCGCTGAAGGCACCCCGGCGGGCTTCTGGATTCGGCTGTTGGCGTGGTTGATCGACGCCTCAGTGCTTGTGAGCTTCCAACTCCTCATGCTCACCCTCCTGCCTGGCACCTCAATTGAGTCCTACTACTCCGATGACTCCCTCTGGGTACAGGCCGACACTATCATGACGATTGTGGGCGCACTCTATTACACCATCGGCGTTTCAGTCTTCTCGACCACAGTGGGCAAGCGAGTGCTGGGGCTGTATGTGTTGCGCCGGGATGGCTCGAAAGTCAGCGGCCTGCGGGCATTTGGCCGGCACCTGGCTTCCGGGGTCTCGGTGTTGCTTCTGGGCATTGGTTACCTGATGATCGGATTCAGCAGCGACAAGCGCGGGCTGCACGACCATATCTGCGATACCGTTGTAATCAAGAGATAGCTGCCGGGGCCAGCCGAATGGAACTGCTGGGCTACGCCGTTCTAGCCGTCGCTCCGGGCCTGTTCTGGCTCTGGTTCTTCGTCCGCGGCCACGCGTACCGCCCCAAGCCGAGGCGGCTACTGGTCTATGCCTTTCTCCTGGGGATGCTGTTCACGCTGCCAGCAGCCGCGTTGGAGTTTACCCTATTGGAAGGCACCAGCGTGGAGGTTGGCAGGGACCTGGCAGTCGCTGCGGCCGCTATGCTCTTTGTGGTGGGTCCAGTGGAGGAGCTGAGCAAGTTTATGGCGGTAAGGCTGGGGCCCTATCGCTCGCTCTACTTTGACGAGCCTCGAGATGGGCGGGTGTACGCAGTGGCCGCCAGCCTGGGGTTCGCGTCGCTAGAGAACCTGGTCTACATCCTGTCGTTCGGCCCGGAGGTAATGGTGGCACGGGCGCCATTCAGCACCTTGGCGCACGTGATCTTCGGAAGCTTCTGGGGGATTGCCCTGGGAGTCCAGACGCAGAAGGGAAGGCGAGGCCTTGGGCTGTTGCTGGCGGGAGGACTGTGCGTTGCCGCCGCCATCCACGGTGTGTTCAACATACTGCTGCTCACCCTGTCGCCGGTCGGGCTGCTGCTGGTGCTTCTCCTGGTCTCGTTAGGGCTGTGGTGGACGCTCAGCAGATTCCGCTGGGCCCAGAGGATTTCGCCCTTTCGCCTGCGACGGAACTACCCGAGGGCTGCCTGTGCCACCTGCGGACACATAAACATGGTCACGGCCCGGTACTGCCAGGGCTGCGGCCAGTCCTCTCCGGCGTCGAGCTCGCTATGGCTGGTATGCAGCCATTGCATAAGCCCGGTCCGGCCCGATGCGGGGTACTGCACCAACTGCGGAGATCTGTTGCTGAGGAGGTAATCGTATGGGCGGCAAGGTATCGCGCAGCGAGGCACAGGGGAGAACAATTGGTCAGCCAACGTAAAGGGGGCGAGTGTTCAAGAGGGAGAACGCGAGGCAACAAAATGGAGCGGAAGACGAGATTTGAACTCGCGACCCCCTCCTTGGCAAGGAGGTGCTCTACCACTGAGCCACTTCCGCTCTCGACGCCAACAAAAAGCCGAGCCTTTTGGGGCGATATGGGAATATTATAGCAAAAGTTTCTGGGCCTTTGTAAACACCCCGCCCTATTAATTCCGAGCGGGCATCCAAAAAGGAAACTGCCGAGTGTCAGGAATCCCGAACGGCCTGCGGAACTCACCAGGTCGAGGGCCTGGCGTTCTACCAGTCCATCCAGCCTGCGGTCGTCGAGGCAAACTCGGCCCCAGAGACTCGATTTTGACTCGCCTAGAATTCGATCCTGGAGAGATTTCTATCACCGCGTGCAACGAAATCCTGTCTGCCCAACACAGGGCCGACTCTGGTATTCTGCTAACCCGGAGTGTCCCGGAATCCAGTAACGAGTGACCAAACAATGCACCAAACTAAGGGAATTGTAATGGCAATCATCTTTCGCGGGGGTATTCTTCGGACTCTGCTGGCGCTCGCGGCAATTTCCGTGGCGCTGGCAGGATGCGGAGGGGGCGAGCAATCGCCTGCTCCGGCGGGAACGTCATCGGCTACGCAGACCGGGGCGCCTGCTCCCACCGATGCGGAGCCTGCTGCGGATGGGGATCGCCGCCTGACGGTGTATTCGGGCCGCTCAGAATCGCTGGTGCATCCGCTGCTGGAGGCATTCGGCGAATCTTCCGGAATCGACATCGGGGTTAAATATGCCAGCAGCGCGTCAACCGCGGCAACACTGCTGGAGGAAGGGGACAACACGCCGGCCGACGTGGTGTTTCTGCAGGACCCCGGATCCCTGGGCAGCCTGGCGGCGGCGGGGATGCTGGCAGATCTGCCACAGGCGACGCTGGACAAAGTTGATCCCAGGCTCCGCGATCTCGATGGCCGATGGGTTGGCACCTCAGGCCGGGCCAGGACGGTCGTGTACAACACCGAAACCATCGACCCGGAAACGGACTTGCCGCCCTCGATTCTGGACTTTACCAACGAGGAGTGGAAGGGTCGCGTGGGTTGGGCGCCTCGGAACGGGTCGTTCCAGTCCTTCGTCACCGCATTGCGATTGCAACTGGGTGAGGACGCCGCGCGGAACTGGCTGGAAGAGATGAAGGACAACGACGCGCAAGAGTACCCCAACAACGTCTCCATCGTGCAGGCCGCCGCCAGCGGTGAGGTGGATGTCGGCTTCGTCAACCACTACTACCTTGAGCGCTTCCTGGAGGAGCACGGGCCGGAATTCACTGCCCGCAACCACTTCATCGGCAACGGGGACCCAGGGGCACTGGTGTTGGTGGCGGGCGCGGGGGTCCTGAAAGTATCGGAAAACAAGGGAGCAGCCGAGGAGTTCATCGAGTTCCTGCTCTCGGAGACTGCCCAGCAATTCTTCACGTCGGGCGTCAAGGAGTACCCGGTGGCCGCTGGCGTGGCGCCTGTGGGTGATCTGCCGCGCCTGGAGTCGCTGGACCCGCCCGACGTGGATCTGGGCAGCCTGAGTGACCTGCAGGGCTCCCTTGACCTCCTACGGGAGGTGGGTATTCTGCCCTAACCCTGCCGCCGGTCACTCGAAACGCGAGGGACTGGATCGGGGGGGGGAGGGGGGTGAGTGCATCAGGAGCGGTTCGGGGCTGGGTTGCGAGCGCCTTCGGTCTTGGGGCGGACTTCGCTGAGAGCGGTGGTCCATTTTCAAGAATACTCGACTCGGAGCAATTGGTTGGTATCCCTTGGGATCTCCCGGAAACACTGCCTGTGGCACTCACTATGTCAATTTGAGTGTAATTCCATCGCACCCTGGCCCCGCTTCTGTTTTCGCGAAAAGGCTCGAAAATCTTGATTACCAATACTGTGGTGGTGTGCTTTTCCCTGGCCGAGTGAAGGAAATCGTTCCGTCGCGGGTTTTTACTATTATGTCGTCTATGCTTTCATCGACGAACCACCACTGATCGTCTCCGGTTCCCAACAGTTCGTCAATAAGTGCATTCAGTTTGCTTAGGCGAGCCACTTTATTGACTTCACCCGGAATGATCGATTCCATTTCGGAGAACGTGGCGTCAAGTATAACCTGGCGGCGCCCCGCCGCTTTTGCCAATGTGGGAACGGAATCCTTCTCCAATACAAAATAGAGCCTTCCCAGCTTATTTCGGAAAGTCTTACTGAAATCTACCCAAGTTGGCCGTTTATTGTGAATTTGCTCGACTTCCTGTACGGCCAAGGGGTTTTGGCTTGTTGTCCCACTCCCAGTAGGAGGAGTCTTGGCGTATACAACTGCATCGGCTACTTTCCCGCCAACTTCAACCTCTGCCCTAACGCGATAACCTTTATTAATTATGTCTTCCAAATGGGCAACATTGGAAACAGCTCCAGTCGAGCCTGTTGTAGTCTTATCAATTACGCGAACCAAAGCGTCAAACTCCGTTTGGTCAAGATGGTCTTTCAGCCTTAACAATGCCTCCTTGAATTGGCTTGGAGTGTGGTATGTGGAGTTGGAAAGCAATTCAGCAATTTCGTCAGCGGCGCTTTGTCGTATATTGAATTCTGATACTAAAGATCTTGCTATCGTTTCTCGGGATGCAGACCCAGACCCAAACCCAAGTCTGAAACTCCCGGATTTTGAACTAAGCATCCGGCTCGGATAATTTATAAAGCCACTGATTCTCTTCCCGATAACTTTTGTCGCCCAGCCTCCACCAACCATGGTGGAGCCGGATATGGATAGGGAATTAGAAATATGCTCATTGAATCTTTCGCCTGCAGCTACGTCTCCCTCCTCCACATAAAACACGAAGTCATCTATCGCTCTTCCACCTAGTGTTACGTCAGTGTTGTATTGATGGGTATAGGGACTTTAGTCTGATTCGGGCATCCTCGGTGGTGAAGCGCCAGTTCACTCGTATGCCGTCCCGGTTGCGCTGAGCCTGCCACGCTGCTGCCTCCCTCCGCAGGACGCTCCGGTCCGGGATGCGGCGGTCGAGGCATTGCCGGGCCATCACGCCGATCTCGATCTCTGCCATGTTCAGCCAACTGCCGTGCTTGGGTGTGTAATGTATCTCCAGCCGCTCCGCGATGCGCCGCGCCTCCGCCGGCTCAAAGGGCCTCGTACAGTGATGACGGATGATGCGTATTCAGGTTGTCATCACCCAGCACTATCCGCTCCTTGTCAGCATAGTCCTCGTCCACCAGTTTCCG